ACCTATTCTCTCCTCTGCCTCTTCAATCCGAGCCGTGGTGGTTTCCATTTTGTTATGCATTTCGTTTAAAGCGTTTTTCAGCTCCTCGTGACTGTTCCTTAGTCCCTTGATCTCTGTAGCAAGAGATTCTCTGCTGTCAGCTATACTGTTTTCAAGCCCAGCGATTAATTTTATGACTATTATTCTAAATTCACTTTCTGTTATATTATTTAAATCCTTTTTGATCAGCTCATTAGCTGTTGTTATTTCCTGGAGATTCTTCTGAGGGGAATTCTTCCGCTTGGTCATTTTGGATAGTCCCTGGCGTGGTGAGGACCTGCAGGGCACTTCCCCTGTGCTGTGGTGTATAACTGGAGTTGGTGGGCGGAGCCGCAGTCAGACCTGATGTCTGCCCCCAGCCCACCGCTGGGGCCACAGTCCGACTGGTGCGTGCCTTCTCTTCCCCTCTTCTAGGGGCGGGATTCACTGTGGGGTGGGGTGGCCTGTCTGGGCTACTTGCACACTGCCAGGCTTGTGATGCTGGGGATCTGGCGTCTTAGCTGGGGTGGGTAGGCAAGGTGCACAGGGGCAGGAGGGGCAGGCTTAGCTTGCTTCTCCTTAGGTGATCCACTTCAGGAGGGGCCCTGTGGCAGCAGCAGGGAGTCGGATCCGCTGCCGGAGGTTTGGCTCCGCAGAAGCGCAGAGTTGGGTTTTTGCGCGGAGCGGAGCGAGCAAGTTCCCTGGCAGGAACTGGTTCTCTTTGGGATTTTGGCTGGGGGATGGGCGGGGAAGATGGCGCTGGCGAGCGCCTTTGTTCCCCACCAAACTGAGCTCTGTCGTCCGGGGGCTCAGCAGCTCTCCTTCCCTTTGTCCTCCAGCCTTCCCGCTTTCTGAGCAGAGCTGTTAACTTATGACCTCCCAGCCGCTAAGTCGCGCTTGCTGTCGGAACACAGTCCGTCAGGCCCCTCCGCTTTTTGCAAGCCCGACTTGGGGGCTCTGCTTGGCCGGCGAGCCGCCCCTCCGCCCCGGCTCCCTCCCGCCAGTCCGTGGAGCGCGCACCGCCTCGCCGCCCTTCCTACCCTCTTCCGTGGGCCTCTCGTCTGCGCTTGGCTCCGGCGACTCCGTTCTGCTAATCCTCTGGTGGTTTTCTGGGTTATTTAGGCAGGTGTAGGTGGAATCTAAGTGATCAGCAGGACGCGCGGTGAGCCCAGCGTCCTCCTACGCCGCCATCTTCCCTCCCTCCTCCAAAAATCGATATCTGGGTTTAAACCTGGCCTTAAGTGACTTGTTAGCTGGGACTCTACTGAGTGGAGAATGTACATGGTGGTTAATGGGAACTATCATCACTCTCCTGATGATGAGTTCTTCCTGTGTGTGAAACGTCTCAAAGGATGAGACAATATAGGGGAGCCAGACCTGTAAGGAAGCATATGGCATGGCGTCAGGAACTGAAAAATGCTTGTGAATTTTTATTCAAACCAACTTCATTCTAAGGAATTTATTTCAACTTATTTTTTCTTCTAGAGTGCCCAACTTGAGGAAATCATCTTGTTCATTATTAGTGCGGGTTCTTTTTATTTTATTAAAAAATATTTTTTTTATTTTAGAGAGAGAGTGAGCACATGTGAGCGGGGAGGGGGCGGAAGCAGAGAGAGAGAGGGGCAGAGAGAGAGAGAAAGAGAGAGAATCTTAAGCAGGTTCCATGGTTAGTGCAGAGCCCGACATAGGGCTCAGTCCCACGACCCCAGGATCATGACCTGAGCAGGACTCAAGTGACTGAGCCACCCAGGAGGCCCAGTGCAGGTTCTTTTCAAAGCTTCATTTTGTGTGTCCTACATACCAAAGTACATACATGTGTCTTGATTTACAGAAGCTGAGCTATTGAGGATTGTCTTCTCTTATGTTTTAATGGTGTAAATAACCATTACTCCCTTTCAGGGCCAAATCATTGACTTCCGAGGGCTGCTCACAGATGCCATCAAAGGAGCAACCAGCGAAGTTGGCTTGAACAGCCTTGACTGTAACCCAGACCCCTCAGTAAGTGGCTAAGACGTGACATTCGTCTTGCAAACTACCAACATCAGGACGAACTTTAGAAGTATAATTTCGAGTCCAGAGAAATTTTGAGATCAACTCAAAGGTCACAGCTATCTGCCACCATTTATGTCACTGAGATCCGCATCCTGTTTTGCTTTCTAAGTTATGAACAACATTGTAACGTAAAACTTTCTGTTCCCATCATCAGGAACGATTGTTGAAACCTCTGAGTGCATTTATTGGCATGAATAGTGAGATGCGAGAATTGGCAGCCGTGGTGAGCCGGGTAAGATCTGATATTCAATTCACAAATTTACGGAGGCGGATCGGGGCTCCTGGAGCATTGTGGGCTGCTTCTTTTATTAATAACAATAAATATGATCATTTATTTATAAAGTGCCCCCACTTGCAAAGGCACTCATATTGTTTAGAGGCACAATAATGCATGATAAATAAATTATAGAATCATAAAATTACAATACAAAGAGCCCACCATCTCACTACAGAGGCCAAGAAAACCAAAAGGGAAACAGACTTGGAAGGCAAGGGACAGGTGAAAGGTTTTAGAGCAGAGCCAACAGTTAAGGAGAGAAAGTCTCTTAGAGAAGGAAAGAGCATGTCTGTGTCTTGTTTAAACAAAGTCTAGAAACAGAGATATTGGGAGTCTGATGATTTCATAATTGGAAATTTCCATGAAAAACAAGATTAGCAGGAAAGAGCTTATCATCCAGACTACTGAATTTCAAGCTTACCCTTCAGAATTTAAAGGCAGTGGAGTCTCATGGTTAACGATACCGGCTCTGGAATCAGTTGACCTGGATTTGATTTCTACATCCTTCTTTTTCTAGCTGTGTGACTTTGGGCAAGTTCCTTGGGAACAGAATAGATTCCTGAGTTATAGGCTATTTATCTGATATCCAGCGATCTCATATTTAATGAAAGACTGCAACCTAGGCAGACTCGGAGAGATGTTTAATATGTTCCAAAAAATGCACAGCTATTCTGCAGTAATTAAGGGTTCCCCAGCTCTGGCTGTTCAGTTCCGCAGCTGTTACCACACCTATTAGGTGTCAAGCATGCGGTGGGGGCTGGAAACACAAAGATGAACAAATCAGACACAGTCCTTGCCTGAAAGAGTCTCTCATCCCATGGGTAAGGTGCACTTGGAGAACCCAAAGGAGGGGTGTTTTGTGCCAAAGGGTGGGGAAAGCACTAGGGAAGAAGACACATAAGAAATAGGTGCGTGAAAAAGTAGAAGAGGGAGGGTGGAGGGTTCTGGGCCAAACACACTGTGAAATCGTACTGCTTTGAGCTGAATGAGCCCCAAGGAGTGGTGGGGAACGGGGTTGCAGAGAGAGGCCGGAGTTCCTGAGCTAGGGGCATAGCGAGCACTAGCCCAGCACTGGAAGTTGTCTGGAGGACATGCGGAATCTTTGAAAGGTGTCCATCGGGAGAATGGGCTACTCAGATGTCCTGATGACAGTGTGGTGGATGGAGATCAAAGAAATAGAGATAAGGAGACCAGCTCTCAAGTTATTACCAGTGAGAGAGGATGAGGATTGAGCCAGGCTGTGGTAATTCGGATGCACCAGAGAGCAGAGAAAAATATCCTTTTTGCTACTGTTTCTGCAATAGGATACCATAACTAATGATAACGGACGTGTAGAGAAGTGGCCTGAAATGATTCCACCTGGCATCTTTCCTACAGTGCCACAGGAAGTAGTCGTTCAGTCCCTGCTTGAATGCTTACAGTGTTGGGGAGCTCACCACCTCATGAGGCAGTCCTGTTGAGTTCTGACTGATAAGTTTTGCGGCTATGAGGAGGAACTTCCCATTGGGAAATTAAGTACTGCTATGTGAAACTCAATGTCAGCTCTAGAAGAGGGCAAGGAATACTGCTTTTATCTATGGCTGCTTTGAGTTCCAGGGTAGATCAATCCCCACTGTGTGCCAAGCTTCTTCTAAGAAAGTGTGGTAGTAAGAATGTGAGTGGCTGGTGGGCTAGCAGGCAGATACACTGTCTAAAGACAGGGAGGGTTCTCCCAAGATTTTGGAAGATAGATGTGCTTTCGCTGCCATCCCGTCCAGGAATGGATCATGCCTAAAATCACTTGAATGAATAGTTTCTCTAATAAAAGTTGTCACCCGTGGCAGAGGGATACGGAGAGACAGGCAACAGGGGTGGGGGCATTGAAAACGTGTGTTTTTGAACCACGTGCGTGTATTGTTTATTTAAAAATTAAATACACATAAAACTAGTTCCCAGATTGTTCTGTGGTCACTCAGAATGACTTGAAAGAGGGAGCTTTTTCTTTTTTTTTTGATGTAACACACTAGTTACTCAGTTTGCCTGAAAGAGCTCCTACTGAGAAAGGCCCTGAGTGACTGTTCCAAGGTGGCTTGTGAAATTGACGTTTGGAAACTTTAAATGAATTATCAGTAAAACCGGCCTTAATTGATTGCCCCAGATGGTTGCTACAGGGCTCCACAAGGAGTGGCTCAGACCGCACTTTTGCCCGGTTGTTGACTTCCTTGAATTTTGTAGGAGCAATTGCTCCTGATGGAAAGTAGGGGTGATCACTAGGGAAAAAGAGAAATTGGTTTCAGAGGAGCGTGATCTCTCTTAGGCCACAAATTAAGAAAGTGTTTGAGAGAGCAAGGAGCAAGGGGAGCCAGGCACTGGCTAGGAACTATGTTTTGCAGTCAAAGCCAATGTAATTTGAAGGCATATTCTGTAGCCTCTTTGATTACAGCCGTAAATCAGCACGGTTTGCTATTAACTGAAGACAGGTATAGTCCATCGTTAGGAGATTTTTTTTTTTCCCCTCTTAAAAGTACCATATTGTATCACCAATATCTTCTTCAGGGAAAAATCACTGAATATGTTCATGGCATCCATTTAGTGAGCTAGCCCATGATTACAATATGCATATATACGTATATCTAACATGAAAAGTTTTTATCACCTTTCCATCCTATTGTAAGTCAACTATTCTGCTGCTCCTGTGTTTATTACAGCTGTGGAGGAAAACACTAGTGTTAACAAAATGATCAAATGTGCATTGCAGGACATTTATCTCCATAGTCCAAACATAAAGTGGAATGACATTATTGGACTCGATGCAGCCAAGCAGTTAGTCAAAGAAGCTGTCGTGTACCCTATAAGGGTAAGGATGGGAAGCCTCGTGGGGGTATTTCTGTTCATTATCCATTGGACAAACTGTATGTCATGCACCCATCAGGAAGAGGACAGGATGTTTTTCTGCCATCAAGTTAACTTTTTGCCTGTGTCACAGTATTTGGTTAAACGTTGGAGTACCAAGGCCCAGTCCGTTGTAGGCAATTTGGAATCATGTTACATATTGGTTCAAGGCAGGTGTCTGTTCAAGTGATCATTTAAGATCTAAGACTCTAATATATATGATTTGCCAGTTGCTATAGATAGGTTCAAATTAGCCTGCCTCCCTAAAAATATACGTATTATAGCAGAAATACCTCCTGTAGGAGAGGGCCTCTCACTTTGCTTCTATACATCTTACCGCCTACCCTCCCCAATACCCACATCACCTGGGGTTTTGCTTTGACTGGTTGTAGGGACTAGACAGCCCCTTCCAGGGCACCAGCAGGAAAGCCACCGTGTTGTGCTCATTGCTTATTCCTGACAAGTCTTTGTGCAGAGTGGTTCACTAAACAGGAAAGAAAATAGAAAAACAGGACTTTCCATGGTGGGTTTACAACTGTGGTACTGAGAAGGTCAGTGTACCACATAGCTCTGGCTGTAAAACAGACCACCCCAAAACTTCGCACCTTAGAAAAACAACCATCACTTACTTATGTGCGCCTGTGGGGGTATGCCGTTTGGGCTGGGCCCAGCAGGGCTAGCTCATCTCTTTGCCACATGATACTGGCTGGACTCACTCCCACATCCGGGGCATCAGCCAGGGTAGCTGGGAAAGCTGGAATAAACGGAACGACTGAGACTTCTCCACGTGCCTCTCATCCTCCGGCAGGCAGACCGAGTCTTGTTCCCATGGTGACAGAGGGTTCCCAGACAGAAGCAAGAAAGGGCAGGTCCCAATCCAACAGCATCTCCCACGTCTCTTCTACTTGCTGATGTCTCATTGGCCAAAGTCACAAGGCCAAGTCCAGATTCATGTGGTGGGAGGAGCTGCAGATAATTTGCGGCCATTTTCTGTGATCTTCCCCAGTGAAGATAACAAATTTATTGTATTGAATAACCTACTTATTATTACCACTGAGCCCATGCAGCCCCTGATTTTTGGCTGCTTCTATTCTAATGAGACAAAAATCAATGAATTTGGAATGTCTTTCCCCTCTCTTTCTTTCTGTGTTCTGACATGGGAGTAAAAAATATGCTGGTATTCAGAACTAGTGGGAATTTATTCACCCTTTCCTCTGAATGGCTCTACAATACAAGTCTTCTGGAAAGGATAGGACATCTCATTGAAACTCTGGATGTGTTATCTCCGTAGTATCATAAGCTCTGTACGTGATGACATCGAGATTTTGACATTAGCATCAGCAAGAAACTAATAGCTAGTTATAATCATACTATTGTTTTTCCTTCTTCCTTGTTCTCTGTCAACTCTACCTATGCTCCAGATTGTCTGAATTTGAACTAACGGGAGAGAATCACTAAAGTTCATGTATGTCCTGTTTGGAGTCAGTGTCTCATAATGCATTCAGCACCAAGGTTCCCAGCTTCTAAATCAGGCTTCACCATAGCTTCATGCCTAATTCGCACACACCTTTGTCGGTTCTGGTGTTTATCTTAAAGGGCACTCCCTGTTCACAACATTCAAAAGATTGCCAAATACCCTGTATATAGACCCCTGGCGGAAATGATGTTATGTATGTGGGCGATAACTACTGTAATGGAGAAGAAAAGTACCCACGTATGCCTTTCTTTTCCTTAAAACAAAACAAAACAAAACTGCTCTTGTAAAAAGCCACAAATATTAAGCCACGCATTCCTATCAAGTGTGAAAGTCAACCTGGGATAAATATGATGTAAATAGAAGCAGCCAGCCTTAAAAAAAGGCTGACTGTCTGAATTGTGCTGTGTTTCACTCTGGCTTCATTTGATTGCGCTGAGGGTGTGTAGGCTGACATACGGATACCAAACCTCTTCTTTGTTCCTTGTTTCCATAGTACCCACAGCTGTTTACAGGAATTCTCTCCCCCTGGAAAGGACTGCTGCTCTATGGCCCTCCAGGTAAAGGAATCGTTCTGTTTGGGTCTTGATATTAAGTGTGTGTGTGGATGACGACTTGTCCTGTCCTCATTCAGCACTGGGGCTAATGACCGCTAGGTAACCATCTCCTTTTTCACCGACTTCTTGTGACACTGACTTCTATCTGTTAGCAGAGGAATGGAGTTCAAGTGTTGCTCACAATTCATCCCCATGTGTCTCTAGGTACAGGGAAGACTTTACTGGCCAAAGCTGTGGCCACGGAGTGCAAAACAACCTTCTTTAACATTTCTGCGTCTACCATTGTCAGCAAATGGAGAGGGGATTCAGAAAAACTTGTTCGGGTAGGAATTCCTGATTTTGTTTTTTCAGAATAAGTGCCAGCGAATACAGTGGTACAAAATGATGTTAGAGCTTATTTGTTTTTAAGCGATTTATATGTTAGAATTTATCCCGGATCTTGATTACTAAAAACCCAGAAGATGGATTGATTGACTATTATAGGTGGATATTAATCCTGTCCCCATCAGCAAAACATGATGTCCTTTCCTTTGGGAATTTGACCAATGGTCCTTTTGTGATTCATGTAGCTTAGGAATGGAATCTGGGGAAAAGGTTGTTTATGAAGTGGAATATTTTTTTCTTCATTCAAGAAGCATTTATTATTAAGCATGTGCGGTATATTCAGTTAACATTTGAGAGGCTGCTACTGTCTGCAAGTCCCTACACTACATACTCAAAGAATCAAGAAATTTAAGACAATTATTCTTTCAGATGGTCTGAGCAACTTTCCTCCACAGTGCCCCATAGCCTTAGAGATTTTTCTCTCCTTAGGAGAGAAATAGAAAGTATATTTTATATAAAATATAATGTAACATTTTTTACTATACTTCCCAGTTATCTTATGAGAACACCTGTTTATGATTTACTCCTCAATGTAAAGTGGGTCCTTCTCAGAAATCCTGTTAAACTATTAAATTCTGTAGAATGACTGGCAAGTAATCAATACTAAGTAAATGTAAATACTATAAATTTTCTGAAAAGAAATTTCCTCTAAAATATTTTGCTTAGGTTACATTCCCTTAGATGACTTATTTTCAAAATATTATGGCTTACTTGGAAGTCATAATAGAATATTTTTATAGGATTGATTTACCTAAAATTACCTATTATTTATTACTTTGATACTTTTCTCAAGTTACTTCAAATGTGTAAGTTTTTATAAATTCTTCCTTTGAATGTTTATTTATTTATTTTGTGAGCAAGAAAGCATGAGCAGGGGAGGGGGCAGAGAGAGAGAGAGGGAGAGAAAGAATCCCAAGCAGGCTCCATTCGGTAAGCACAGGGCCTGATGCAGCTTTGACCTCATAAACCGTGAGATCATGACCTGAGCCAAAATCCAGAGTCAGAGGCTCAACCGACTGAGGGACCCAGGGGCCCCTATGAATTCTTATCACCCCATCGAGATTGTAATTTGTAGAAATCCATGTTGACATCTGTTTCTTTGTTCTTTGAGTCTAACTTAGTGCCAGGTCCAAAGATAGGGTTTGAACTCACCTGTTCCTAAATTTTGGGGTTCCATGTGATTCTAGTTAGCTTGATTTCAATGAGCTGAAATCCAACTAACTATAAAATCATCAGCCTGAAGATTTTTTTTTTTTTTTTTTTTTTGGTCAGCTTATTTTGCCATCTCTGTTATTTCTAGACCTCTTTCTCTGGTCTGAATTTTCTCCTAAATAGTATTCTCATATATAATAGTTATTTTTTTTTCAATGTTTATTTATTTTTGAGAGACAGAGAGAGACAGAGCTTGAGCAGGAGACAGAGAGGGAGACACAGAATCCAAAGCAGCCTCCGGCTCTGAGCTGTCAGCACAGAGCAGGACGTGGGACTCGAACTCATGAACCATGAGATCATGAACTGAGCCGAAGTCAGATGCTAACCCAGGCGCCCCCGAAGATTTTTTTTTTTTACATTCCATTTCTGTTTGCTACGGAACACTAAAACTCTTAGGAGATGCCCCCAGACTCAGTTTAGATTCATCTCCTGTCATGAAAAAGTGGTGTTTACAACTATGCGCTCAAAACACTGCAAGATGCTCAAAGAAAGATTACATTATATTCTCTGGACAGGACTTCCTTAGACAGAAGAACGAATTCAAATATTTTATGAATATCCTTAACAAAGATTGAAACTACTAAAAGAATTGTCTTGTTTAATGTGGGATAGCCAGAAAAGTCACTTAACAAGAACTCTCTATTCTGTGTGAGCATTTTATTTAACTAAAGTTTTCTTCTGCTTCAGAATTATTTTGTTAAAATTCTAGGGGTGAGGAAATGATTCCTTCCTCAATTTCTCCCCCTCCTTTCCCATATATTTTAAAAATAATTCATAATTTTGAAAAAAAAAGATACAAAAGGGCATATAGACCCCTGAACCTTCTCCCCAGGGGCAACTGCTACAGTTGCTAGTGCAGCCTTCCAGAACATTTATCATATTTATATAAATACCAACAACTGCATCTATATCTTCCTTCTTTACTAAATGTCAGTAGGAACATACTACACATATCCTTCATTAACTTTTGTTTTTGTTCACACTTACCAATATAACTTGAATATTGTTCAACACTATTGTAGACAGAACATGTTCTTTTATGAGTCTGTATCAGATTTCATTGCATGGAATGTTCATTGCAAAATGTATTTAACCAGTCTCTTCTTAATGGCTATCTCTAATGTAAACAACAGTTAGGTTGTTTCTAGCCTCCTGCTATCATGAACAAAGCTACAGCAGACAATCTTACTATATCCATGTCCTTGCGTATATAGTAGTGTAAGATGATTTCTCTTAAGTAGAATTGCTAGGTCAGAGAGAATGAAAGATCACTGATTGCCAAATTGCCTGACAACAGGGTTGCACCAGCTTCTACACCCATAAATGGTGTGCGTGTTTGCTTCCCCCACCCTGGCCAACACTGTGTACCACCCAAATTTAGAAATCTTTGGGACACCTGGGCGGCCCAGTCAGTTAAGCGTCCGACTTCGGCTCGGGTCACCATCTCGTGTTTCGTGAGCTTGAGCCCCGAGTCGGACTCTGTGCTGACAGCAAGGAGCCTACTTTGGACCCTCTGTTCCCCTCTCTCTCTGCCCCTCCCCTGCTTGTGCTCTCTCTCAAAAATAAATCAGCATTTAAAAAAATCTTTAAAAATAATAAAAAAATCTTTGCCAATCTGATAGTGAAATTAATATTTCAGTGCTCAAATATGCATTTAACTCTGAATGAACTTGAGCATCTTTTTATAGGTTTAGAAGATATTTGTATTTCCTTTTTTTTTCTGTGAAATGCACTTTTGGTTTTGGATATTTAAAAAAAGTAATTCAAAGGGAAAACAGATAACCTCTCCTAACCTTGAGGGATCTCATTCTCTATCGTCTCAGAAATTCTTTTCTGAGCTCTTGGAAGGATCCTCAGGAAAATCTTGGTCATGCTGTCAAAATCTTTACTATGAAGCTTTCAGATAAAGAGAACCCTTCAGGGCCTTCCTCTACATCAGAGAAGCTTTCCTACCATTTGTTTCTCTTCCTATTCCAATCAAAGAGTTATTTATAGGGAACCCTTGGGTTATGTTCCTCCCTCCCCTCCTAATGTTCATGCCTCCTAGGAATTGATGCTATTGAATAGTTGAGTGGTCTCTTTAGCAAATGCACACACCTGTTGGTGCTTACATCTTTCAACACCCTCCCCCACCCCCACCCCTAGTTGTATGATTTAACTTCCTCCAAGTACTTTTGAAAATTTTGGACTAACGCTTCCAGCGCACTTACCTGGAGTTCTATGTATTCTTTGGCAGTGGGAAGAGCAGTGGTATGGTCAATATGGAGACACAGGGTCCGGATGCGGTTCTCCTTCCAACTGGGCATTTGGTCTCATAGGGCCCCTTGGTCTCTCTGCACCTTGGGGAGGACCTTAAAAACATGTATGGTTCTATGAAAGAGTTCTGATATTCCACTTTTCATTGGGTAGATTGCTGCTATTGTAATCACCCTTAATATCAGCTGTATTGGGGCTTTTCTTTTTGTGACAAGGAAAACAAGTTGCTTGCTTCTAATGAGCGCGTCGCTATCGTGTCTAAAAGGCATTCGTGATGGGTGTCCCAGCGTTGACACTGTTCTCTCAGTTCATTAGGCTGAGCCAACTGTCTTGGCCGAATGAAACAGGATTCTGTGAAAGGAAAATACTTGCTCATGAGCATGGGTGCACCACACGTACAAGCAGTGGTGAAGGTGAGGGACTTCCCACTCAGTGACGGGGAGACCGGCAAGGGGTAACCTGCCACTATCCAGGAAAACACAATCTGGCCTTTTCTGGGCTCTTCTCCTCTGATTTGTTCTGTGATACTTTGCTAGCGCTAAGTGACATGGAGAATAAATCCCCTTTGCCTATTAAAGAACCTCTATTCTTTTCTAAGTCTCTACTGCTTTCTCCGATCAACCAGTGAAGAATTGTATATGATGCTCAAGAGATCAGTTTCAAGGTTAAAAAAAAAAGCTTTAGTTTTTTATACTCTTTTCATCACTACCACATCTCCCTTTAGAGCTCTTTATTTTGTTTTTATATGTCTGTTCTTTTGCTGGCTGTTTTTCTGTTCTTGTTCAGTCTATAATATTTTATTCTGGAATGGAACATTTTATTCAATTGGGAATTGCCTTAAATTCCTTCAAAGTACCTGAACCTACCAAACAACAGTGTTTGGAGTGGCATAAGGACCCCGTGGAGTAATTTGGGGAGCAGAAAGGGGCAAAATTCTTCTTGTTACCCATAACTGGAACTGTATCCTTCCCCTACAATTCTTCCTTCTGAGAATGACCCTCTCTCATTGTCCTGAAAGGTTGAGGGAAAACCATTAAATGACTTTACATATTCCAAGGTTTTTTTTGTCCATACGGAACATGTTATTGGCAGGGAGTCTCGGGGGCTAACTAACCAACTAGAGCTCAGGTATTGAGTTTTAGCTTAAGCTCTCCCATTTATGATTAGTAACCTTGAACTAACCACTAACTCTCTCTGGCTCTAATTTTGTCAAGTGATAGATGGAAATAATTGGACCGTCCAACCCCATGGGGTTGTGCTAAGGAGTAATGATTATAAAGTTATTATGAAAGAACAGAGTGCAGCATAAATACTTAACATTACAGCCATTCTAAGCTCTTAATCTCTGGGAGCATCTGAGAACTTTAACTTAACTATATGAATTTGAACATGTGGTTGCTTCTCTCCCACCCAGGTGTTATTTGAACTCGCCCGCTATCACGCCCCCTCCACCATCTTCCTGGACGAGTTGGAGTCAGTGATGAGTCAGAGAGGCACGGCTCCTGGGTAACAGACAGGGTTTTTTTTTTTTTCGGTCATCACTTCTCCCCTCTTGTAAGTGTGTTTGATGGTCGGAAGCCCATCGACATTTACCAGCAGAATGAGCCTATTAATAAGCCCACAAATTTTCTGCAGACACATGGAAAGGTCTTTAAATTAGATCCTGTTAACTGAATAGCTGATTTAAGTAGTTTTTATAACCGGAGGAAATGTCATCCTCCCTTCCCCCTTTCCCCACAGAGTGGTTTTCAGGCCTGAAGATCACCCAGCCCCACGATCCCAGGCTGCCATAACGGTCTCGCTGGCTCAAAATAGCTGCTCGTGACCACCTCCTCTGGAGCCAGAGGGGCTGCCTGTGGGGAATGGGGCTGCAAAGGCCAAGTCCCAAGAGGTAGCTCTCGACAAAGTGTGTGAGGCCAGGGAAGCCACCACTTTTCTGTGACATCAGGTGGTGGGTCAGCCTGTCTGATTTTAAATATGTCACATATGTTACCTCTAAAGATTAAGTGTCCACTAACGTCCCCAGCAGGAAAGAACACATCTCAGACTACAGTGAGCCTTGTGTGTGTGTGTGTGTGTGTGTGTGTGTGTGTGTGTGTGTGTGTGTGTTTTAAGAAACTCTTTCTGTCTTCATCAGAAGTATTCTTCTTTGAAACTTCTTACTAAACCTGGCTTGGAAAAACAGGTCTCTGGGAAATCTCAACACAGCGGCATTTATTAATAGCCTCTCATGGACGGACCATCATCAAGGCAGAACTAATAGTGATAAAAGGCAAATACTCAACTTCTTGGAAGTACAACTATAATTTATGAAATTTTACTTATTGGAAATCATTTTCCTAACAGGGAAAAGCAACCATTAGGATGCACCCAGGATGCATGGGATTGATGGCATTGAGGTCAATGGGACAATTTCCATGGCTTCACGGGTGCTTGTCAGCCTCAGGCTAGATGCTCTGCCTCTCTATACAGGACCTGACAGGGGCAGACATGCACAGGCACCTGGATAGGCACCCACCAGACCACCTTAGTGGTCATTCTGTCTGCAAAGACCCAGCCCACCTGGCCTGCCCTACCAGAGTGAACTGTGCACTCATTCTTACATTCACTTTGTCAATCTCCATTCCTGGGGTTTCCCACAGCTTTGAATGGCTAATTTGGAAGCTTTATCTCCTGCCTTTGACTGTACTCCGAGTTTTACACTGAATGGCAGCTTCCTTGCCTGGAACTTGACCCCTAAAACTAGAGTCAGGGAATAAAGGCAGGTGCTCTGAGAACTTCCTGGGTCATATGAAAAGAATAAGTATCGGTAAATCCTAAATAAATACATAACTATACTGTGAGACTATCCTTTCTCTTGGGAAAAGGTAGTTTGACAGTGAGTGGTACAGTTCTTAACAAAAACACATACCTAACTGATGCTGCCACTACACATGCCCAGAGAGGAGAAGTTGAATGTTGTGTTGTCCAAGAAAGGCATTTTTTGTCCTTTTAACTCAGTCTATACAAGTGAAGAGGAAGGAGAGCCTGCTGAATATAGTCCGGATTCAGAGCCAGTTTAGATTGTTAGGTCCTGGAGTGAGCTCCTTCATGGCGGGATGGTCTTTGGCTGCGGTGGAGGTGGGGCTTGGAGGGTGAATCTGCACAGCAGACAGCCCCAGCAGGCTGTGCAAGGAAAACATACTCTCCGTGTCGTTATCGTGCCTTTTATTAGAAGAGAATGAAATAGATTCAATGCAGTAGCTTATCTCTCTTCTTCAATAGAGTATATCCATAAATTATATGAAAAGAACTATGGTGTATAAAAGCACTTTCATGCCTGCTGTATAAATGAAAGGATTATTCTCAATTATCCGTTTTTACAAAGGGCAAATAATACTACTACAGAGAGACCCAGCCCGGCTGTGTTCAATCGATTAGTAGTACTGTCTGCCCTTTAGTTATTTTCTAGTTCACTGCCAATTTTTGGTTTTCTTCTCAATGTCGTCATTATATTCATTTACTTCCTTTCTCTCACTCTCTATGTGAAAATAATACCAAACTACTCGTTTCCTTCAACTCTCCTACGAGTGGCTCCCGGGAATGAGGCAAGGAACCTGTCCTACAGGCACTGAATCAATGTTGTGAGTGCCACTCTTGTCCTGGAAGCAAAGACTCTGTCCTGGGAGAACCTCACCTCTGTGTCTCTCTGTAGGGGAGAACATGAAGGAAGCCTCCGGATGAAGACAGAGTTACTGGTGCAGATGGACGGGCTGGCTCGCTCAGAAGATCTCGTGTTTGTCTTAGCAGCTTCTAACCTGCCATGGTAAGAGATCTTAGTACATTTTAAATGCATTTCCATTAGACACTGAGTACAGATGAAGACGTTATATTGCCCAGTTTGGGCAAAGTCTCAATGTTTGGTTCCAGCCCTGGAAGATTAATCTGAAGTCTTTCTTGGTCAAGGCCTCAGTCCTTGCTATCTGTACCATGAAAGAATCTGCCTTAAAAGAAGGAACATAAGCCAGGCCTACCACTAGCAATACTTAAAATGGACATTTTGAAGGGTACCCGGGTGGCTCAGTTGGTTAAGTGTCCAACTTCAGCTCAGGTCATGATCTCATGGTTCATGGGTTCATGACCCATGTCAGGCTCTGTGCTGACAGCTCAGAGCCTGGAGCCTGCTTCAGATTCTGTGTCTCCTTCTCTCTCTGCCCCTCCCCCACTCATGCTCTGTCTCTTTCTGTCCCTGTCTCAAAAAGAAATAAACATAAAAAAATTTTTCAATGGACATTTTGAGTTTAAAGCCAAATTATTTACTGTATTTATGCAGGGCTTTGGCAGAGAACTAATACAATGCTAAAATCTTTAGGACTCAGGAATATTCCAGAAATAATATGTTTATTCTTTAACAGTATTAAAATCAAACTTTTTTTAAATTAGGAGGAAAACCTTTAATGTTACATAGTAAATAGGAAGCTAAATAATCTCTAATTGAAAATATAATCTACTCTCTGAGTGTTTTATTCAAGCTGTATCCCAGAGTGGTTAAAGAACAATTCTAGAAGTAGAATTGGGAAATAAGAGATGTTGACTAGGGAAAACTATCTACTTGGAGAGTATATTTAAAAAATAACTCTAATTCCTTTATAGTCCCAAGAATATAATTTTCACACACATTATCTCTTTTGAGGCAGGTAAAACAGGAGACACATAAGGAAATGTTGTTCTTCCCATTTGCAGGTAGGGTCCAAGGTCAAGGAAGGTCAATCCACCCAAAGTCAACAGCAAATCTGCAACAGAGCTGGGACTTGTGACACTGTTCCCCCACCCCCACCCCATCCATTTGTGTTTCTACATTCAAAGATGAATGTTGTGCGTGCTGTTGTGCATGCTGGTCATCTAGGCTCCCAAAGAAGTCACTGAAAAGAGATGATGACATTCATGTGGAATCTGTTATTTTAAATATATTCCTAATTTCAGCCTGGCTCCACCTCCCCTCAAATTTATAAGACTGCACTAATGTGTAAGGTGATCAGCATCTTATGTTTTCATGGTAGAGGCATTTATATACAAATATTACAGTGGAGTCCAAACAGAGAACTATCATTCAAATAAACGATTGCGAAATGCCTCCGAGAAAGGACCTCTGTTGCTTCAGCTGTTTGCAGTGGGGTTGGTCATAACCACATTCCTCTTGTCCTGGGGTGACTGTGGGAGTCAGCTGGGGAGGGTGCGTGGAAACTGAAGCTTTGTGCATGACTCCTGGACCGTCTGTGCCCCCCGGGGAGACCTACACATTTTCTAGAGGGATAGAGAAACTTCTACTGCCAGTGAACACCTAGGGTTTTGCTGAGGAAGTTTCTGTGCTGCCACAAGTCCCCTGAGGTGATCATTTTCGGTAAACCCCACATAAAATGGTCTGAGAAAAAAAAAAAAAAAGACAATAAAAAATTAAAGAAGCTTCGAAGGGCTTTTCCAAAAGAATTGCCCCTCATTATGGCAAATGGCAAATACACACATGCTTTTGGGCTTTGCTTGCATCATTACAACGTACCTTCGGATCCAGGGGTGCCTGGTGGGCTCCATCAGTTAAGGGCCACACTTCGGCTCAGGTCATGATCTTGCCCTTCCCAAGTTCCAGTGCCGCATTGGGCTGTGCTGACAGCTTGGAGCCTAGAGCCCGCTTCACATTCTGTGTCTCCCTCTGTCTCTCTACCTCTCTCCTGCTCACTCTGTCT